TGTGTGTGTGTGTGTGTGTGTGTATATATTATATTTATATATCGATGTATATATACAAATATTATATATATATATATATAAACGTGGAATGATATTATAAAGATTGTTGACAAAATATTTGCGTCCGCGAAAGGAGAGAACAGATTTATGTTTATCGATAAATTCTATGTGAACTATTATCATAACTAAACTCCACTGTGTTTCCCAAATACATTGAAGAAGTCACGTATCGTGAATTACGGGAAATATTTACTAGGTTGCTGTAGATGAATCGATTCTAAAGTTTTAAGGGAGAATCACATAAATGTAACATGTAGCGTTAATTTAATTTATGGATTAGTGTGTTTTAATGGCCTTCGTGCTATTAACGCTAACGCGCGGCAGCATAATATATATATATATATATATATATATATATATNTCACATTAGATCTATATTAATTGGCCACCGCTGACTCCTCATCTGAAATGCTGCAAATCCTCTTCTACTGTAGCTGGCTACGAATATCGCCCGGCTGCCGGTAGGCAGAGAAACAGAGACTCGTTTGCCGTGTAGGGTTCTTCGGTTTTGCGCGACGTATACGAGACGACACGCAAGGCTCGTCCTGTCGCTCGAAGCAGCCATTAATACAGTTTTTCTCGTTCGCGATGTTCGGCGCGAGATGTATACCGCACCGGTTCCTCTATTGCCATTGCTACAAATATGTACGTTACTCTCTCTTATTATTAGATTTAATTGTTATTTATTCGTCTTTCACCGTACTCGCGTTCGTACATCATCCTTTTGTTGTTCTTCTTCTCCTCCTCGTCGTCGTCGCCGTCGTTGTCATCACCATCGTCGTCGTCTTCGTCGTTCTCCGCGTTCTCGTCGTCTCGACATTCGCCCGTGGACGGGAGCATCGAGTTTCACGAAGTTATTTTATGTACCGTCGGTCGAGAATCGATATTCTTGTTTTGCGTTCGACCCGTTGAAGTTGCGAGACAAGATCCCGTGCGCGCGCGCGCGTTGTGTGTGTGTGTGTGGGGGGTAATTTCGTTCGCCCGTCTGTCTGTCTGTCTGTCTGTGGTAACGCCGGGTGAACGGTTGATTCCGAACCGGCGGGCACTGAGATTTTCGATCGAAGGCTCGGTCTCTTGGTCTCGCTCACTTCCGCTCGCTCCTTATGGTCCCCAGTGTCGCCGGGATTCGATTATTCCCACGAGCGATCGCTGTACTTCCTCCGGGACCCGGGTTGTCGATCCGCCACCACCGCGGGACGCGGCTTACTCTTCGTTACTCCGTACACTCGCAATAGCCATACCGTAATCCTAATAGCGAATCGTTCTCATGCAGTACAGCTGGCGATAAGCTGCGTGCAACATCGCGTATTAGCGCCGGAGCGAAGCGACTAATTAATTCTTTGTGATATATGCACATCGCCTGTTGGTACAAATGACGAGTTTCACGACGTACATGTTTGTAGGTGACACAATAGCAATAGCCGGGGAACACCTGGTGGTCTCTCCCTCGCGAACAACTTGTAGGTAGCACGCGTTAAAAAAGGAAAAAAAAATCAATTAGAAATAGGATTTACGGTTATCTCTCTGATAAAAACGAAAAAAAAAAAGAAGTAACAAAAGAACATTCCGTAGTAGAGCAGATTTATATAATGCATAAGACTAGCTGTGATGGAGAGTTGAAAGAGAGTATGTATATACATATATTTACCAGCTGCCAGAACGTGAATAACGCCATGGGCTCCGTTGACAGAGATGTAAAATTGTAAGATTTATTTGCGCAGGAAGACTAAAATTGATGAGATGATGGCATGCGAAACGCGTACGGATTCCAGCACGCAGAGGTCACGAGAGACAAAAAGAGAGAAAGAGAGAGAGAGAGAGAGAGAGAGAGGGGGGGAGAAAACAAGCTTCGTCGGCGCAGAGCAAAAATGAGGAGGAAACATGTCAGTGTGCACGTGACGTTACATAACACATTAACAATTTTATGCGCATGACTCACGACGGAATGCATGACTCCGAGACGAAATAGAGAGAGAGAAGTCTGACGAAGCCGATTTTCTTGAGCGAAATGAAGCTAAAAAGGGAAAAAAAAAGAAGGAAAACAAATGCCCTTCCTGCGGCTTATTAATTCTGGTGAGAATCAAATAGCGGCGAG